GGAAGGCCTCACCTCCCCAGGGGAAAGCACAGCGTTTGGGCAGGAGTTGGAATGTCTGGGTGGGTTGTGGGTTGTTGCCTACCACAGGCGGCTGTGACAGGGTGTGAGCAGCTCACGTGGGATGGCATGGTTGGTCGCCTGCCTTCTGAAGACCTGCTCTCCCCTTCAAGTTAAGTTTTCCAGATCTAAAGCATCACAGAGACGAAGATTCCCCCACCAAGTGCTTCAGGCTGTATGTTCTCTGATGGGTTCCAACAGTTAGTCTCATCCTTGAGGAAGAAAAGAGTGGGTAAAAGGGGGTCCCACATCCTTCTGCTGTTCTTGTATTTGCAGAAGCCACACTTCAGGGACAGGCAGATCTTTTTTGTTTTGTTTTGTTTTTGTTTTTGGAGACAGGGTTTCTCTGTGTAGCTTTGGTGCCTGTCCTGGATCTCGCTCTGTAGGCCAGGCTGGCCTCAAACTCACAGAGATCCACCTGGCTCTGCCTCCTGAGTGCTGTGATTGAAGGCGTGAGTCACCCCCGCCCCCAAGCAGATCATTCTTTCACTCATTCACGAACTCATTCAACAGGTATTCAGGGACTGTGCCCCAAGTCTGGAAGTGGGCACTAAGAAGAGAGAGGACTTGTACAAAACTGCATAGCAACTTGGGTCAGAGATAGATCATGAATTCCCTTTGCAGAAAAGTGCCAGCGGATTTTTTTTTGTTTTTGTTTTTTTTGTTTAAAGACAGGGTCTTACTATGTAGCTCTTGGCTGGTGTGGAACTCTTTTCAGACTAGGCTGGTCTCAAACTTTTATTTATTTATTTTTGTTTTTGGAGACAGGGTTTCTCTGTAGTTTTGGTGCCTGTCCTGGTTCTCGGCTCTGTAGCCCAGGCTGGCCTCGAACTCACAGGGATTGGCCTGGCTCTGCCTCCTGAGTGCTGGGATTAAAGGCGTGGGTCATCACACCCCGCTAAAAAAATGTGTAGCCCAGATTGGCCTCAAACTCCAGACCCACCTGCCCCTGCCTCCTTCAGCAAATCCTACTGGCCTGCACCACAAGAACCAGCTCAAACTTTTAGAGATCTAGTGGTGGCACCCAGGAGGCAGAGGCAGACGGATCTCTGAGTTCAAGGCCAGCTTGGTCTACAGAGTTCCAGGGCTACACAGAGAAAACCCCTGTCTCAAAAACAAAAACAAACAAACAAAAAACCTTACAGACATCTGCCTGCCTTTGCCTCCTAAATGCTAGGACTAAAGGCGTGTGTCACCAGGCCCTCCCTGATCAGGTCCTTGAAAAGCTAAGTCAAGCCAGGCAGTGGTGGCGCACACCTTTCATCCCAGGACACGTGAGGCAGAGGCAGGCAGATCTCCGTGAGATCGAGGCGAGTCTGGTCTTCAGAGTGAGTTCCAGGACAACCAAGGCTACACAGAGAAACCCTGTCTTGAAAAATAAAATCAAGTCAAGCTATTTATTTATTGCTTTGTTTTTTCAAGTTAGTTGTTGCTGGTATCCTTTGCTGTGTCTGGTCTGGGAGAGGGGTTTTAACTGAGAACAGACAAACCCTGAACAGCGTATATATAGTAACAATGTGGAGTACTATTTGTCTTTCCAATACAGAATATATAAGTAGCCGATCAGTCCACTCGCTCCCCATCCAGGTGACTTTGGGTGATACAAACTCACTGTCGAGACTTCCCCAAAGCGTGTGAGTTGTAGCTAACCTGATAAGTCTACCGATTTAACTCCGTCCAACAGAGAGTCACAGGGGCGGTGGGTGGCTCGGGACCCCACCACCTCTTCACTCGCCCCTCCCACGCCTCCGAGTAGAGCTGCGGCTTATCAGACAGAGGGCGCGTTCCCGCACGCCACTGGCGCCCACCCTCCGGCTTTTGGAAGATGCCCCCCTTAACTGCCGGCGCGCTTGCTAGCGTCGCTCAGCAAGCTCCACCGCCTGGGCGTGCGTGCATGCGTGCGAGCGTGCGTGCGGGGCCGTGAAGCAGGGCCAGCAGCGCTCAGCGCCCGCCACGTCGACGTGGGGCTGCCTTGCAGTCACCTCACAGCCCGTGCATCCGGCGAGCCCGCCTGCTGCCCCGCTAGGGAATCCCACGCGCAGCACTTTGACGACTAGACTTCCAGACCGGGGTCTCG